TTTTTATGAACAACACAACTTGGGGACAAATATATTCGAAATTCGTACAAATCTGTTCAGGGGTTCCAGAGATATGGAAAAGTCTCTTTGGACCAGCCGCATGCCTGTTTGCATGCCCAAAACAGTTCCACAGATTCAGGCTGTTCGGTCGGTCTATTTCTGCCTTGAAAAATAACAAAGTCCCAACCGAAGGCGGCATTCGACTATTTGAACGCACTTCGAAGTGTCGAAGTCAAACGGGGTAAACTTCCTCGGTGGTCGTTAGGTGAGTGGCAGTCTGTTTTACAGGGAAAAGATGACAAAGTCCCATCCGAATGCGGCGTTCGAATCGTCGATGTACTTCGACTGCTGTCGAAGTCAAATGGAATTAAACTTCCTCGATGGTTGTTAGGTGAGTGGTAGTCGATTTCACATGAAAAGATGACAAAGTCCCATTCGAACGTGTGTTCGAATCTTCGAATGTGACTTAGTCTCCAGCCGCAGTGTCGAAAGGTAGGGGACGGTGCAGGTCAGCGGTGTTCGTGCAAATGTGTGACCGATTTCCGTTCCAGAGATTTGACGGCACACACCGCTGACCGCGTTCGGCTGTATTAAAATGGCTGCCGCCACGTGTTCGACTGTCTAATGGCGGCCACTTCGACTACTTCGGCACTTCGGCTGTATCCAAAGTGCCATATCAAATGTACCCATTCTCTTCACAACACAGTTAAAGGGCCAGAAACTGTTTTTGTCCTTAGGTGTAGGGCAATGTGGATGATGGCAGGAAGGTAAAAAGGTAGAGGTTCCCAGGCAACAGGGTAGGACGCTTGTTCACATATATTCTAGATCCACGCAAAAAGGGGGGGATCTGTTACATGGCTCCCTCTTTGTGGAACACTCCAGCAGACCCGGTTTGATCCTCTTCGGGTCAACTGAAGGCTGTCTGGACAACAGGTTATGGGCTGAGTTCAGTCTGGTGAGACAGCTCATCCGCGTTACCATTTTTGCTTCCTAGGGCGGAATTGAATGTTAAAATTATAGGGCTGTAGGGCTAGGCTCCATCTTAATAATCGTCCATTGTCCCCCGCCACTCTGTTTAACCAAACCAGGGGGTTGTGGTCCGTGACTAAGGTGAATTCTCGCCCATACAAATTGGGGGTGAGTTTCTTTAGCGCCCAAACCAAAGCCAAACATTCCTTTTTGACTGCCTCATAGCTCACTTCCCGGGGTAATAGTTTACGGCTGATGTAAGCGGCCGGGTGTTCTCCTCCGTCCTCTCCCACTTGGCTTAAAACTGCCCCCAGTTCGAACATGGAAGCGTCTGTGTGGACGATAAAACGTTTGTTAGGGACCGGTGCAGCCAAAAAAGGAGCATGTACAAGGGCGTCCTTCAGGGCTTGGAAAGCAGATTCACAGGCGGGAGACCACAGGACCTGTCTGGGAAGGTTCTTTTTTGTGAGATCAGTCAGGGGCTTAGCTAAGGCGCTGTAGTCTGGTACAAACTATCTGTAATACCCTTCTGTCCCCAGGAAGGCCGGGACTTGGGTCTTGGTTCGGGGGGGTGGGCCAGTTAGCGACAGCTTCTGTCTTGTCAGGCTCTGGCCGCTGTCGTCCACACCCGACCCGGTGGCCCAAATAATGGACTTCCGCCATACCTATATGGCATTTGTCTGGCTTCAGAGTCAGGCCCGCGGCCCAAATCTGATCCAGCACTGCCCCCACATGCCTCAAGTGCTCTTCCCAGGACTCGATATAGATTGCGATGTCATCCAGGTACGCACAAGCGAAATCCTGTGAGCCATCAAGGAGTCTGTCCACCAAGCGTTGAAACGTGGCTGGGGCGTTTTTCATCCCGAATGGTATGACTCTGAATTGGTACAAGCCAAACGGGGTGACAAAGGCCGACTTGGGGATATCCTCCTCGGCCAGGGGAATCTGCCAGTACCCCTTACAGAGGTCAATGGTGGTCAGATATCGTCCCCTGGCGATGCAATCCAATAACTCATCCACCCGGGGCATAGGGTAGGCGTCTGTCACAGTTTTATCATTTAGCCGTCGGTAGTCCACACAGAACCAAGTAGTCCCATCCTTCTTTGGTACTAGGACTACCGGCGATGCCCAGAGACTATCGGAGAACTCAATGACTTTTAGCCTCAACATTTCCTGGATCTCTTCCCGCACACTGGCTCTGACGGCATCAGTTATCCGGTATGGTGGTTGCCTAAGCGGAGTCTGTCCTGGGGTTTCCACCCTACGGGTGGTTAATGTGGTGTACCCTGGTTCTTGGGAGAACGTGTGGCTTTTACTAGCTATTAAGAAGTGTATCTGTTCCCTCTCAGTGGCCGTCAGTCTGTCCCCTAGCTTTATCTGACTGAGGGGATTAGTCTGGGGTTGTCTACTCAAGAGGTCAGGTAGTGGTAAGCTGTCTGGATCATCAGTGGTTGGGGCGCAGACAGCAGTTATGTCCTCGGGCCTTTCTTGATAGGCTTTGAGCATATTAATGTGGAATGCTTTGCGTATCCTCTCATCCTGGTCGCTGGCGATTACATAGGTGGTATCGCAGAGTTGGTCTACCACCGTGTAAGGGCCCTGCCAGTCTGCTTGTAACTTATCACTTTTGGTCGGTTTCAGCACTAGGACCTTCTGTCCCACCTGAAACGTCCGCTGGCGAGCACCCCGATCGTACCATACCTTTTGCCGCTCCTGGGCCGCTTGGTGGTTTTCTTTAACCATCCGTGCTAGCTGTTCTATGCGGTCTTGGAGCTGCACCACATATGATACGATGGGGGCTCCCTCTTGTTCGGTGGTTCCCTCCCAGTGCTCCCTAATGAGGTCCAGGGGGCCTTGCACCCTTCGCCCATATAGTAACTCAAAAGGAGAGAACCCCGTGGATTCCTGCGGCACCTCTCTGTACGCGAACTGGAGGTGAGGCAGGAAACGTTCCCAGTCACGGTATTCGTCTGTGAATGTTTTCAACATTTGCTTAAGGATACCGTTGAAAAGTTCACAGAGGCCGTTAGTCTCGGGGTGGTATGGAGAGCTAAGTAGGGACTTGATTTGGCAGACTTTCCACAATTGATGAGTCAGTTCAGTGGTGAACTGGCTCCCTTGGTCGGATAGGATTTCCCTCGGGAAGCCCACTCTAGCGAATATCCCAACCAGGGCATTGTCCACAGTGTCCACCTGAATATTGGACAGGGCAACCGATTCGGGATAGCGGGTGGCATAGTCCACCATGGTAAGGATAAATCTCTTACCGGAGGGACTAGGCCGTTTAAGGGGCCCTATCAGGTCAACTGCTATCCGGCTAAAGGGCTCTTCTATTATGGGCATGGATATCAGCTTGGCCTTAGGGTGATCCCTTCTTTTTCCCACCCTTTGGCACACATCCCAGGTCCGGTAAGACCCCCGGCCAACAGAAGTGCTGGGTTACCCTGTGAGATGTGCGAGTTATCCCCAAATGTCCGGCTAAGGGAATGTCGTGCCCTATTCGGAGAAGCTCCCGTCGGTACTTCCTGGGAACTAGCAACTGGTACCTCTGCAAAGGGGCGGCCCCAGGGTGACGTTTTTCGGATACACGGTAAAGCTTGTCTTTCTCCCATACATATTTTTCCCCCTCTGAACCTGGCTAACCTGTCTCTGCCCTAAGGCGAAACTTTAGGAGGGAGGAGTCAGCCCTAGTCTCCCTACCAAACTCTTCTGGGGTATCCCAGGCTAGGGTCATCATAGCTAGTGTCTTAGTCAAGGGGTCAGTATGTCTTATCTGGGTCTCCATTACCGGTGGGTTGTTCTCTGCGTTGCGGGCTTGAACACGGGTGGTGACTGGATGAGCGGCTGCGGTCGGTGCATAGGCTGAGGTGAGAGTCCCAAGGTCGTTGCCCAGTAAGACTTCGGCTGGGAGGTTGTCCATTATTCCCACTTGTACAGTACCGGCTCCGGCTCCCCAGTTGAGATGAACCCGGGCAGTGGGGAGACGGTAAACAGCTCCTCCGGTGACTCGAACAGCAACAGTCTTTCCGGTGCGGTCGTTGTTGCGAACCAAGTGTTTTTGTATCAGAGTTATTGTGGCCCCAGAGTCTCGCAGACCCTGAGCGGGTTGTCCGTTGACCAGCACCTCTTGGGGGTGCTGCTGCCTGTTATCCTGAGTGGCGGCTTGAATGGGGTTGGCCTTGTATAGGACCCCTAAGTACTCCTCCGTCTCAGCTGCAGTTTCCAGACAGTGAGCAGCCGGTGTAGGTCGGGGTCGGTTGGTAGGTCGTCCCCAGGTGGTCCTGGGGGGTTCCATAGGGCAGTTGTTCCTGATGTGTCCCAGCTGGTGGCATCCATGGCACCATACTTGAGACTGGTTCGACTGGAACCGGGGGGCCCGGAGTAGTGGGCTGGACCTGGCGGGACCGGAGTACGGAACTCTGTCCTGGGGGGGGGGTTTGTCACGTACGGCTCAGGTTCTGGCTGTCGGGTATCAGTATACTCCTCTGCTAGATGGGCTGCGTCCTGTAGGGTGAGTGGCCGCCGATCCTGGACCCATTCCCTTAGGCCCGATTGAAGTGTTCCTATAAAATGTTCGAGCAGGAATAGTTGCAACACTTCCTCTCCAGTGGTGGCTTGCAACCCTGTATCCAATGAGATGCGGTCCTGTGTAACGTACAGGCCCACTCTGAGTTGGAATCTCCACCTTTCCGTTTAGATTCCCTAAACCGCCGCCGGTATGCTTCGGGGGTTACAGCATACCGGAACAGTAGGGCTTCCTTTACGGTAGCATAGTTTTTAACATCCTCGGTTGGAATGGCATGAAAAGCTTCGTTGGCTTTTCCCGACAGTTTGCCCGACAAAATTGTAGCCTATTCCTCGGGCGGCACCTGATGTAGCGCACATTGCCTTTCCAAATCGGCCAAATATCCATCTATCTCTCCATCAGCCTCTTGGTATGCTTTAAATACAGCAAATGGTACCTTTTTCCGCTCACTGAGGGTTCCCATCGGTAGTACTGTTGGGCTCTCTGTTCTCGGTGTGGTCAGTACCTGTATATGGTAGGCTCTTTTGTCCCTCGCCTCCTCCATCGCTGCGTTGAGAAGCTGGGTTACCACTTCTACTGGTGGATTTGGCCCATAGAGTGCCAGCCTTCCTTGCACGATCCTCTGGATCTCGTCCTCTTCTCCATTTGGTGAGTTAGCGTTAGCCATGATGTTGTTTTGGTCCATTTCGACCAGTTCAGCTATTAATTCCCGTCTCGGTCTGTTGCTAGCTGAACGCCCACGGCTCTCTAGCAAATCCTTCAATGTTGGCCGTTTCAGTTTCTAATACTTCATAGATGTAGCAACCTCCTCTGGGAAGACAGGACCATCCCACCACTGCCACCAATGTAGCGGTTACCCCGTGTAGCAGAGGGGTTTCAACCGCTGGAGGGTGTCCTTTTCCCGATCAGTGAGGAGGATTCCCAGCTCCAAGTCAAGAAGCTCTTACAAGAGCTAGTGTGAATAGCTGTATAGCGATTACCCCCAATAACAGACAAGACTCTAGATTGAGGGTGAAGTAGAACTGATGTTTAATGACAGGTACTCTGCTTTTATGCAGTGCTCCCCTGCAAGGGAGATGCCCACAGGAAATTAGACATTAACCAATCAGATAACGGTTACAACCCACAGATTCCCTCCCCTCTGCTTGGGAGATAATTGAGTTTCTTACTGTATCTACTCAATTATCTCCTAAGCTAAAACTTATCCTTTTTAGGCATTTTTATAACTTCATGATTTTTCATCACACAGGAATAAAACTTATATTTTTATGAACAACACAACTTGGGGACAAACATATTCGAAATTCGTACAAATTCGTTCAGGGTTTCCAGAGATATGGAAAAGTCTCTTTGGACCGGCCGCACACCTGTTTGCATGCCCAAAACAGTTCCACAGATTCAGGCTGTTCGGTCGGTCTATTTCTGCCTTGAAAAATAACAAAGTCCCATCCGAAGGCGGCGTTCGACTATTTGAACGCACTTCGAAGTGTCGAAGTCAAACGGGGTAAACTTCCTCGGTGGTCGTTAGGTGAGTGGCAGTCTGTTTTACAGGGAAAAGATGACAAAGTCCCATTCGAACGTGTGTTCGAATCTTCGAATGTGACTTAGTCTCCAGCCGCAGTGTCGAAGGGTAGGGGACGGTGCAGGTCAGGTGTGTATGGGGGGCAGTGTTTGTTGGGCAGTGTGTATAGCATGTGGATGGGGGCAGTGTTTGTGGGGCATTGTGTGTAGTGTGTGTATGGGGGGGCAGTGTTTGTGGGAAGTGTGTGTAGTGTGTGTATGGGGGCAGTGTTTGTATGGGGGCAGTGTGTGTATGGGATGCAGAGCAGTGTGTATAGGGGCAGGTTTGTGGGGCAGTGTGTGTAGTGTGTGTATGGGGCAGTGTTTGTGGGGCAGTGTGTGTAGTGTGTGTATGGGGGCAGTGTTTGTGGGGCAGTGTGTGTAGTGTGTGTATGGGGGCAGTGTTTGTGGGCCAGTGTGTGTATGGGGGGCAGTGTGTGTAGTGTATGTATGGGGGCCGTGTTTGTGGGGCAGTGTGTGTAGTGTGTGTATGGGGGCAGTGTTTGTGGGGCAGTGTGTGTATGGGGAGCAGTGTGTGTAGTGTTTGTATGGGGAGAAGAAGGGTAGGTAGGCTTTTTAATAATAATAAAAAAAGTATTTAATAAAATGAAGTGTTTGTGGGGCACTGTGTGTATGGGGTGTAGCGGAACGCCAATTATAAATCCACGAATTCCGCTGGTTCAGAAATGAATCCACAGTCAAGCGCTGAAAACCATAAGGCAATATCCCCAACCTCCCAGTAACCGGACGAGACACAGTTCTGAGAGTCAACTGACAACCTTTTAATCGGCAGGACAATTTATACAAGTCCCCATGCAAGGGGTTTCCTGAGTCCCTCCCCAGGGGCACTCCCAGAGGGGACTACATGGGGGACTTACATTACAGCATATTTCTCCCATCAGGCACCGCTGCACGAGAGGGATCATCTTCCCAGAATGCCCCGTTAAGTGGATTATCCCCTCGTGCAGCAGAACCGACAATTCACACAAAAATCCATAACTTGGGGAATATACAGTGGATTTACACGAATGGACGTTCGGTAGATAGCTGGGGTCTGAGCGCATCATTCGTGAGATTACCGCTCAGATCCCAGCTAAAATAACCGAACGCCGCACGAAAAACACAATTCGTATAAAACATATGAAAAGAACCGATTGCTTGTAGGGAACAAAATACCGAATGTCCCGAAACTCCCGAACGCCCTGGAGGCTCAGCGGGGCTCGTGCCGTCGAGTAGCCGTTTTTAGTACCAGGCGCTCGACGACATAACCCCGCTGAGGGAACAAAGGATCCAAGATGGCCGACCGCCGCATGGTCGGTAGTCGAACGACGGCCACCCAGGAGAGCCTCTAATTACCGATTGCAACATTGTTGCAATCGGTTAACTAGCGCCACACGCCTCTAAGTGTGTGGGCTATTATGGGTCTTTGCGTTCGGTTCACGAACGGCCCTCCAAAGTGCCGTTCGTGAAACGAAAGGGAATCCCCATACAAACCACCATTTGCATTCGGCGGAACAGATAATTACAGGTAAAGCAGGGAATACATGAAGCAGACACATACAGGTTAAAACGCATATCTCTCCAGACCTATAGGCAACCCTTAAAGGCATAGTGTCCAGTTATAGTCCAAGTGGCTAGGTTTGCCACAATGCTCCCCCAGAACCAAGCCGGCATACACAGTCTGATCCCAACGGATCGGCTTGGGGATGTCCGGAGGAGCGCTCACAGATCACTTCTCCAGGTCTGTTTGTCTAGATAACCCGTCGGCGTTACCGTTCTGTTTCCCTGGGCGATAATGGATCGTAAAGTCAAAGGGCTGCAGCGCCAAACTCCAGCGCAGCAGCCTGGCATTGTCTCCAGCCACACGGTTTAGCCATACCAACGGGTTGTGATCTGTGAGCAAAGAAAAGGGTTGCCCATAGAGATAGGGCTGTAACTTTTTCAGGGCCCACACCACGGCCAGGCATCCTTTTTCTATGGCGGCGTAGCTCACTTCTCGAGGTAACAGTTTTCGACTCAAATATTCTACGGGGTGTTCTCGCCATCGGCTCCGACCTGGCTTAATACTGCTCCCAATCCAAACATGGAGGCGTCTGTGTGGACAAGAAAACGTTTAGTTGGATCGGGAGCAGCCAGTACAGGGGCATTGGTCAGAGCCGTCTTCAGTTGGTTGAATGCCTGTTCACACTCTGGGGCCCAGATGACCTGCCGGGGCAGGTTTTTCTTCGTCAAGTCAGTCAGGGGTTTGGCCAGGGCACTGTAATTGGGCACAAATTTCCTGTAATACCCTGCGGTACCTAGGAAAGCAAGGACTTGGGTTTTGGTCCTAGGGGTAGGCCACTGGGCTACAGCTTCAATCTTTGCGGGTTCAGGCTTCTGTTGCCCGCTACCAACCCGGTGTCCTAAGTACTGGACCTCTGCCATCCCTATGTGGCATTTGCTGGGTTTCAAGGTAAGCCCTGCCTCCCGGATCCGATCTATTACAGCCCCTATGTGTTGTAGGTGATCCGACCAGGTCTGACTGTAGATGGCAATATTGTCCAGGTATGCACACGCATAATCCTGGAACCCGTCCAGTAGCCGATCCACCATCCGCTGAAATGTCACGGGGGCGTTCTTCATCCCGAATGGCATGACTCGAAATTGTACAAGCCAAACGGGGTGACAAACGCCGACTTGGGGATGGCGTCCTCGGCTAGTGGAATTTGCCAGTATCCCTTACACAGATCTATTGTAGTGAGATACTGACCCCTGGCCATCCTATCTAGCAGTTCGTCTATCCGAGGCATCGGGTAAGCGTCCGACACGGTTTTGTCGTTCAACCTCCGGTAGTCCACGCAGAACCGGGTGGTACCATCTTTCTTGGGAACCAGGACTACCGGCGATGCCCAGGGGCTATCAGAGTGTTCGATAACCGCCAACTGCAACATCTCCTCAATCTCTTTCCTCATATGTTCCCGCACGGATTCAGGAATCCGATATGGGGTTTGTCGCATGGGAAGCTGTCCCGGGGTCTCTACTCGGTGAGTGGCTAGTGGAGTGTACCCAGGTAAGTTAGAAAAGGTGGCACCCTTTGTCGCTATCAGTGCTTGTACCTGGATACGCTCTTGAGGACTTAGCCGCTCCCCTAGCTGAACCCCCTGGGAGGGTTCCGTCTGCTCCTCCTGCTCTAATAGATCTGGGAGAGGCAAGTTCTCCTGATCTTCTGAGGCGGGCGTGCAGATAGCTGCCACGTCCTCAGTTCGCTCGTGGTAGGGTTTGAGCATGTTCACATGGAGCATGCGTCTCTTCCCTACTCCGGAGCATGGGCCGATCACATAGGTGGTGTCGCATTTCTGCTCTACCACCTGGTATGGGCCCTGCCAGACGGCCTGCAGTTTATCGGTGCGGACAGGTTTGAGGATTAACACCTTCTGTCCCACTTGAAAACTACGGTCTCTGGCCCCCCTGTCATACCAACGACGCTGTCGTTGCTGGGCGGCCTGGAGGTTTGTGCGTACTGCCTGGGTCAATTCCTCCAGGCGATCCCGGAACGCCAGCACGTATGGTACAATAGGGGTCCCATCTGCGCTACTCTCCCCCTCCCAATGTTCTCTAATGAGATCCAACGGTCCCCGGACCCTTCTCCCAAACAACAGTTCAAATGGGGAGAACCCGGTAGACTCTTGGGGTACCTCTCGGTAAGCGAACAACAGATGGGGAAGGAATCGTTCCCAGTCCTTATGGGTCTCTCCGAATGTCCGGAGCATCTGTTTTAGGGTACCGTTGAACCTCTCACATAATCCATTGGATTGCGGGTGGTAGGCGGAGTTAATAATTGGCTTAATGCCACATATCTTCCATAACTGCTGAGTAACCTCAGCCGTGAATTGGGTCCCCCTATCGGAGACCATTTCCTGTGGGAACCCTACTCGGGAAAATATTTTCATCAAAGCTTCGGCTACGGTCTCAGCGTGGATATTGGTTAGGGCAATCGCTTCGGGGTACCGGGTGGCGTAATCCACCACGGTCAGGATATACCGTTTCCCAGAGGGGCTGGGCTTTGGTAGTGGCCCCACTATATCTACAGCCACACGGCTGAACGGTTCCTCAATTATGGGTAGGGGACATAGCTTGGCCTTGTGG